AGGGAAACTTGTCTCTGAAAAAAACAACAAATTTCGTTATTGCCTGTTGTCACAGGATATCTGAGGTTTGAGATTACCTGCGTCTCCTGGCAGAAAGGGAGGTTCACATTGGGCATATGTGTCAACCCAGGCTGCACTTGACCTTTTCCAGGTATTTCCAAGCCTTCCCACTGCCCTAACCCAACTTCCAGCTATGCTTGGATTATTCAAAAAATCTCGCAATTCTTCTCCGTGTCTGCACCTTGCCTTCCTATAATAAGAGTTCCAGTCTATTGCAAGAATGCATTTCTTTCTTTTTCAAGAGCACTGACATCAAGATATTCCTTTGCTCAAAATTTTCCTTTGGCTTTCTTTCATTCAGAGCAACAAATCAAGCTGCAGCACTGCAGAGCCCTGCGCTGGCCTCCTGCTTTGCTCCGGCCTTGTCCCCCTGTGTTCTCTGCCAGCCCCAGGGAGCCCTCCTTGTTGATCCCAGAGCAAGCCAGGAATGCTCCAGAATTAGAGTTTTTGCCTCTACTTTTGTCTGTCTCTGTCCATTCTTCCCCCAGAAATCTAACCAGCTTGATCTCTCTCCTCTTTTAAATCTTTAATATTGCCTTCTGAATGATGCGTCCTTTGCCTTCCTCTGCTCCATTTCTTTGTGTAGCTTCTATCCCCATCTTGCATAACATATATTCTGTCTGTCAGCCGTCTAGCTAGAATATAAGCTCTGTGAGGTAATTATTCTGATTTTTTGGCTGTCTGGTTTTGTGTCTTGTAGACAGCTCGGAAGAGCAAGTGCATGCACTAGCAGCCCAGCACTGCCTGGGACTTCCTAGAGCTCCCAGTTGGTGGGCTTTCCCACTGGATAAGAATGTGGGGGGGAGCCAGGAATCTGTGTTTTAATAGATCCCTATGTGGGGTTTTTTCTTTGACAGCCTACCTTGAAACAGGATGATTTTTTTTTTTTGCATGCTATTGTTTGAGAACTACTGTTCTAAAGAGAACTGGACAAAAGGTAGATAATCATTATTTGTTGATGAAGCAACAGGCATAAATGAAACTAGAGCTTTGTCAGCAAATGGAGGGTAAGAACCATTTCCTTACATTTCAATATTAAATTGTACTTCAATGTGATGTACAAAATAAACTCTTAAAAACAGCAGAGTTCTTTGCCTCGGTCACTAAATGACAGTTCAACAAGCCTTGACAGAGAGCCTTGTCTGGACAACAGTCATCCTTCCAGGGGGGAGGGGGGCATGGGCAACATAAGTTACCTTAACTCTTGTACCCCCATAATACGCTAAATAAAAAAAAATTAAAAGAAAACAAAACAGAAAACAATGTCATCCTTCCTCTGGGAAATAGGCACTCTCGAATTGCCAGTGTTTATAAGATGAACAAGGCTGGGCACGGTGGCTCACACCTGTAATCCTACCACCCTGGGAGACTGAGGAGAGAGAATTGCTTGAGCTCAGGAGTTGGAGATCAGCCTGAGCAAGAGCGAGAACACCGTCTCTACCAAAAAAAAAAAAAAATAGAAAGAAATTAGCTAACCAACTAAAAGTAGAAAAAAAATTAGCTAGAGGCGGGCGCGGTGGCTCATGCCCTGTAATCCTAGCTCTTGGGAGGCCGAGGCGGGCGGATTGCTCAAGGTCAGGAGTTCAAACCAGCCTGAGCAAGAGCGAGACCCCGTCTCTACTATAAATAGAAAGAAATTAATTGGCCAACTGATATATATATAAAAAATTAGCTGGGCATGGTGGCGCATGCCTGTAGTCCCAGCTACTCGGGAGGCTGAGGCAGAAGGATCGCTCGAGCCCAGGAGTTTGAGGTTGCTGTGAGCTAGGCTGACGCCACGGCACTCACTCTAGCCTGGACAACAAAGCGAGACTCTGTCTCAAAAAAAAAAAAAAAAAAAAAAAAAATTAGCTAGATATGGTGGCGCATGCCTGTAGTCCCAGCTACTCGGGAGGCCGAGGCAGGAGGATCGCTTGAGCCCAGGAGTTTGAGGTTGCTGTGAGCTAGGCTGACACCATGGCACTCTAGCCAGGGCAACAGAGTGAGACTCAAAAATATAAAAAATAAAAACAAAGATGAACCACACAGCTACTAAAACTGCCAGTTTAGGGATTACAAATAGAACTATACAGCATATTCTTCACTTATTTTGCCTGTTAAACCTATAAAAACACAAGCATACTTTTCTCCCTCCCTTTTTATTATAAATAATTTCAAACAGATATTATATACAGGCCAATATAATACATTTTCACGTATGTATCTATCATCCAGTTTAAGTAATTTGCTCACAGCCAATCTCATTTCATCAATGACTTTACCACAGATACAAATTTTTTTGAAAAAAATTTTGTTTATTTATTTATTTTAAATTTATAAATTCATTTTTTCATATTTTTTCTTTATTTGCTCCATCCCTTGGCTGAAGATTTACACAGATACAAATTTTGAAGTCCAATAAAAGATCCAACTAACAAGAAAAAATGTGAGACACTATTGACTCCTTTTTCCTCCATTAGCATTACCCGACAGGCTTGTTAGAAATGCAAATTATTGCTCCGGGCATTTCCCCAGACCTACAGAATCGGAATCTTTGGGAGTGGGGCCCAGAAATCTGTCTTTCAAGAATCTCTGACTGTTGTACACACTAAGGTTTGAGAAGCACTGTTCTAGGATACAGTGCTTTGCAGTGGGTAAAAAAAACTCCTTAAATACTTATTAAATTAGTGAATCATGTCCAATAGCTAAAACACTGACATTCATAAAATTGGAGAATTATAAGAACTCTCAAAAAAAAAACACCCAAATTTCTGATTCATGGCTTAGCTTTGCATTTGTCAGTTCTTACTCTAATTAAAGGCTTTTAATATTCAAGGACTGAATTATTATGTGTACCAAATTCTAAGTTCTCCTAGTGAAGAGATGAGAAGGGTAAACTATCAAACTAGTTGTCAAAAACAGTCCTGACCCGGAGGAGAGAGGCCGTAGGAAAAACCAGCCCTGCTGATGCTGGTGCCTTGATCCTAGACTTCTAGCCTCCAGAACTATGCGGAAATAAATTCCTGTTGTTATTAAAAAAAAAAAAAAAAGTCCTGACCCTGAGCAACACTATTGTAACCAGGGTAGTTGCCACTTCCTCTTCCATACCCTACCCTCCGGGGATCTCTGACCCAATGTAAAAAGTGATTTCTTTTTAACCCTGACTAAGTCCAGCCCTAGGCACAGGCACGAGAGGAATGTCTAGGGATGTCCACCCAAGTTGAGCGAACTTACAGTAATAAAATTGCTCTGGAACCCTTTGATGTAGTTGACCCAGAAGAGAAGAGCCTCGGTTTCCCAGTAGGTGTCAGACAATGAAGGAGAACCTGGAAGGGGAGTTGAATGAAGTGAAATGATAACGGTGGTGTTGGCGAAGGGAGCATGGCTGTGACAATTCTCTTATTCGGACCTTAGTTAGCTGTTGCCCTAATTAGCTGCAGCGGGATAACACTGCACCTACATATTATACTTAGAGTCTTTTCTTTCTTCTTTCTTTTTCTTTCCTTCTTCTTCTTTCTTTCTTTTTCTTCTTCTTTCTTTCTTTCTTCTTCTTTTCTTTCTTTCTTCTTCTTCTTTTCTTTCTTTCTTTCTTCTTTCTTTCTTTCTTTCTTTTCTTTTTTTCTTCTCTTCTCTTTCTCTCTCTCTCTTTCTCTCTCTCTCTCTTTCTCTCTCTCTCTTTCTTTCTCTCTTTCTTTTTTTTTTCCTTCCTTCCTTCTTCCTTTCCTTCCTTCTCATTCCTTCTTCTCTCCATTGTTCCTTTTCCTTCTCTCTCTTCATTCCATTTCTTTCTTTCTTTCTGACGGCACGCAGTCCAACTATTGTTGCCAGGGCTAGAGCGTGACGTGCCCGTACCATCCAACCTAGCGCTTTACAGCGCCAACCTCACACTCATCGCGTCAGGTGATCCTTCTGCCTCAGCCGTGCTCTCTGATAGCTGACGATACAGCGCTGCCCCCACCCATGCCCAGCTACATTCTTTTCTGTTTTTTAGTAGGGCCAATTAATTTCCTTTCGTTTTTCAGTAAAGATGGGGGTCCTCACTCTTGCCTCACGCTGGTTCAAACTCCTGAACCCTGACTTGATCCACCCACCTTCGGCCTCCCCGGTGCTAGGATTACAGTGTGGAGCACCTGTCGCCCTGCCCATATTATGTTTCTTATACCAAACTATTTTATAGTATAATATAGAGAACTAGCCATGCACACAAATGAGTTCATTTAGATGTTACTGGTACCAGGGTACAAATATGTAAGAGATACAACAGGAATACAAACGAGTGTCTTCTCTCTTGGAGGGAAATGAGTTGGGAATATCATCATAAAAATGTGGTACTTGAATTGTCTTGGAAGATGAACAGTCAATAGGAAAAAAGGGAGCAAAGGGGAAGTAGCCTGAAATCTACTGCAGACTGCACATAGTTTGGTACAGGAATGCATCAAGACAATGCTAAAAATAGTAGGTAGGAGCCAGATTATACAGAGGTCTATGTAATGCTAAAGAAATCTGGACTTTATCTTAGAAGCAGTGAGGAGCCAATAAAGGGTTTTTAGATAGGGAATGATAATGATTATCAGTCTTATAAGAACACTTAAAGAGGACAGGCAAGAGCAAGACCCATGAAGGGACTAATGCAATAATCTAGACAGGGGTTGACAAACTGGTCTGCTACTTTTTTTTTTTTTTCTGAGACAGAGTCTCACTGTGATGCTAGTTGTCAAACTAGCTAGAGTGCCTTGGCGTCAGCCTAGCTCACAGAAACCTCAAACTCCTGGGCTCAAGCGATCTTCCTTCCTCAGCCTCCCGAGTAGCTGGGACTATAGGCATGTGCCACCATAGCCGGCTAATTTTTTCTATATATATTAGTTAGCCAATTAATTTCTTTCTATTTATAGTAGAGACGGAGGCTCACTCTTGCTCTGGCTAGTTTTGAACTCCTGACCTCGAGCAATCCGCCTGCCTCAGCCTCCCAGAGTGCTAGGATTACAGGCGTGAGCCACCGTGCCCAGCCACTAAGTTTTTAATATTTAGTAGAGACGGGGTCTGGCTCTTGCTCAGGCTGGTCTTGAACTCCTGAGCT